ACTAATACCCTGTTTGTTAATAGACTCTCACTCCCTTGCAGACGCAGTATAAGGCCGAAAATAAAGTTCTATTTTGGCTTCTCATACTACTGGCCACCCTGGTTGCCCTAACGATCCTGATTCTTCTACTTTGCTGTATATGCTCCTGGTGTCCTCTGTATGGCGCAGCAACGTAAGTAAAATGTGCAGCGTAATGCTTAGAAGGGGAATTTTTTTAAAGAGAATCCTATACTTTTATCCCTTGCTCCTTGAATCGGTAACTTAGTCTCGGTATTTGATTCGACACTGGAGGAGATACCATTTAAAGCTATACGAAATGCCAATACGCTTTTTAAGCACTCAAAGACGTTCCGCATTCCAAGTCGCGTGCATTAAACTTTTACTTTTCAAATACTTTAAAAATTCTGTACACTTAAAAAAAAGTAGATAAAAGATAATATTCATATGAAATTAATAACGTTAACTTTTTGAATAAGGAACAAATTATTATTCATATATTCTAAAAAATAATTCAAGAAAAGTATCTAAAAGATTTTACCATCACTGGGTATATTTTCCAAATAAATAATCACTCTAGTATCGTACCAAAGACTAAGTACAGAGATCAATATAAAGAGGAAAATATACATAACAATATATCTTTAATGTGCATATCATTATTAACTATCGGAACACCACTCATTTCATATCTAATCGTATACTCTTTTCTTGTAGCAAAAGAATAGTTAATATCAGTAGAACTGAAGACGATGTACATCTAGTGCATAGAGAAATGGCAAATGGAAACCATACAAAATCTGTTCAGGTAGATTTTGATCGATTTCAAATTATTAGCATTTCGAAACATAGCCAACATTAAACACTTCAAAATGGCACTCTTTAGTTTTCAATTAAATATCCAAACATTTTTATTTCCATCAATAACCCTTTCATAAAATTCTTTCAATAACTGCCAATTATATCCGATTTTTATTTTCAAAATTAAACTATTTATATTCATTTAAACTATTTTTTTTTTTAAAATAAAGTTATTGGCTTACATATAATGATGTCCTAACCAACTTTCAGGTCGCAGAGTGGATGGGAAGACGAGAGGCTTGGTCCGCGGATAAGCCATCAGATACACGTACAAAACCTACCCGCTGGGAGTTCCGCGATGGACGTGAACAGACTGAAAACGTAGAAATGCACCACGCAGGCGTCAACACTGATGCTGATGCAGTCCGGCACGCAGCGTCTGAGGAATACCAGCAGAGACGAGTCCGCATTAAGTACTGCCAAAGTCTTCCAATCACTTATGGATTGCAATCACGAATAAAATTATTTTTATTCTAGAAACAGCAATACAGCCAAAGAAGATACACATAGTTTCCATAATTCTAGAACCAATTTAATAAACCACCGGGACGTATATATTGAGGACGTAATGGACGACCAGAACTTAGTGCAAATTAAAGAAGAGTTGTCACGCAACAAACAGAACAGACCATTGGAGCACAGTCGCTTGAAAAATTACGACTCGGATGCCAGACAAATCGACGATGACTCCATGCGAAGACACGAAATCGACAGGGGAAGCGACATCGACTTTAATACTGCCCAGAATAGTCTGAAGAATAAGCGCGAACTTTTCATAAAAGACGGTAATGTTGAGATCCTTCAGCTTATGACACGCGACAAGACTCGGGACGGAGCTGCACTGGAAGATGACAATATCTACGTCAATGTTCCCGTTAAGTCATCTGCGAACCTCTCGCACCCACAGCTGCTGATGGTGGACAACACTGGCAAAGAGATCCTGATGCGCAGATTTATTGAAGAGCAGCCGGATGGGAAGCAAATAATACGGGAGCACTACCATATTGTACCAGGCACTACCTATATTCAGTCAATGCCAAACGAAATACAAGGATCAACACTCAAGGGCGACACTTTTCCCCTTGGCAAATCGGGACCAAATAGTATTGTCTACTCCCAAACCGAGCCTGAAGTTAAAGTCATACACACGCAATCAGTTCAGGGTGCGGAGGACATAGCCCAGCTCCAGCCTGTCGCGGCGAGTCAGTCGCTTACACAAGAACTGGAGCACTCACTCAAGCAGCAAAATGCGCTTTTGCGTCAGATATTGCTGGAAAAAGAGAAACTAGAAACTAGATATACACAGCACGAAATAATCTTAGAAACACAAAGTCTTCCGGGCCAGTCGATGGCGATAGGGACCCAAACTGACTGCGACGCTGGCACCCAAACCGAGCAGACCGAGAACTTCAGTGCCAAGCAAATGGTCCACTCGCAGGCCCAAGTGGGCTCTACTCGTCGGCGAGCGCGCAGTGAGAATGACGACTCGCTCTCGGAGGACGAATACAAGTACGTGCGCTTTAGTCCCCCCAACAGTCCCGAAGGTGTGTATTGGATAAAGCGGCATCAACCCAAAAGACGACTAAGGCTGCGCGGCAGCTTGCAGCCTCAAAAGAGAATCGTCATGGTGGAAGAGGTGAAGCGCAAAATACGAACACCCATAAAGGAGGAGGACGAAATGCACGAGAAGAAGAGGCGAATGCCACCCAAGAAGCCACTCCGCGAGACAAAAACGAGTATTCTGCGGAAGCAGCTGAGTGACGAAAGCCGAAGAAGTGATGTGGCCAAAGAGTCGAATGGCAAGCACAAGTCTGAAGCGCTAAGCCGCGAGGTACTTATGGAAATATCGGACTCTCTGGATGAAAACCGAGGTCCCAGATCGCGCCGAAGTGAACATTATTACGATAACTTTGAGGGCGAAGTCGACGAAAATGACACTGAATACTCAATTGATTCCGATGACAATGAGATTGTAATTAGAACCAACTCAAACTTATCAAGCTATGCATATCCACGAAGTGTCTACACTAGAGCGTCTCGAGACCCTGGGTGCCATGACCCACAAGCTAAATATTCATCCCACCAAAGTAGATCCGTAAACATTTCTCCACCTTCTGAGCCAAACGAAATACATCCAGAGGCAAGGCCCAGACTTTCCCGTCGGGACAGTTCGAGGCGCAGTCAAAACTCCCGAAAGCAAACGTCGTCAGAGCCCCCGCACCACCGTACTTTAGTTTCAAAGTACGACTTGCAAACAGTAAAAAATGACATAGACCCACATCATAGTTCAGCTGATATAAGTGGATCAAAGCAATCGCTTAACGATCGACTGTACCAAAGTGAAACCGAACTGGCTGGCCGCGATGAATCAACTTCCCGAAATGTACCAAAATATATGGAGTGGTATTATAGTAAGAAGAAACCGTCTGTCAGCGGTCGAACTTCAACTGAGTCATCGAAATCTCAGATGTCGATCAAAAAGAAAACTTCTGCTCCAGAGAAACGTACGACAAAAACGAGAATGAATTCGAAAGTCGAAGATCAGGCATTAAATGATGAGGCAGCAAGATTCAAGCCGGAGCCCGCGCCACGAAGATCTCCACCAAAGGGCACTCGGCTGCTAAAAGAGGACAGAGCCTTGAATAAGCAGCACAAACCCAAAACAGAGACTGATACAAATCATCCGCTGCTGCAGCATTCGGAGCATCGTTTCGAACGGGAGAACGCTCCGGAAGTGCCACCACCACCCACCAAGCTGCCACACTATATGTATCCCGAGACTCCACCACATGCGGCACCACCGGACAACGATCAGCATTCGCAGAAGCATAAGCCGAAGCCGTCTCCTATTAAGGAGAATGAAGTAAAGCTGACGAAGGCAAGAATAAATCTTTACGTGGAAGATCCCAATACCGCACACCTCCCATCTCAAGCCCAAAAGCAACTGAATGCATCCACTCTCGAGGACGACCACGACTCGGGCATCGCCATGAACTCCCTTATGAATAGTATGGGACGCAGGAATCCTATAGCCGAAAAGAAAAGTGTCTTTTCGATTGCATATGACGATGTGAGCCGCGTTAAGAAAATAGCATCAGGCGGAGAGTCTCCACAGTATTCATAAAAATATACATTTTCAATTTACAAATATATATACATACACACACACACACACACACACACACACACACATATATATATATATATATATATAT